AAACGAATATGAATGGGTAAAGGGTTTATACAAATATGCAGTCAGATAACCTATTCCATCTTATGTGATTTAAGAGTTTCATACTAGGAACTGTATTCCATACTCAGTAATCTTAGTTTTGTAAAATTAAAATATTTTAAAACTTTAAAGAATTTAAAATATAGTTTGAAAGGCCATGACCAGTGGAATCCAACTATGTTAATTTGGTGCAGTTATCCACAGAAGAAGGTACGAGGTGATTGCTCAATATCAAAAAATGACCATCATTAAAATTTACAGCCACTGGATTTGGATTCAGTTTAAACTGTCACCTAGACACCTGAAGATTTGAGATTTGATCCCTTATGGGTTCAAATGACAAAATAACTGTCTCGTACATCTTGGTCGCCAATGATCATCTCATTACGACTAGTCCTTTATAAAAACGATAAAAATTAACAACCCTTACAACAAATTTCCTAGACTAATTATTTTCAAAATCATTCATGCTCCACTCTAAAATTAACTGTACAACTGTTGGTGAATACATTTCATTGAATATCCATTTCATTTTAGTTTTTGATTCTTTCATACGAACAGACGTAATAAAAATATGCAAAATACAAATGAAACCTTCGGAACTGCGTCTATATAGTTATTTAAAATTGATTTTATTCTATATGCAAAATGTCCACCAGAGCTAAGAATCATTTCCACTGTTTCAAGATTTTTTTTTCTATACTCCAAATATATACAGCTTGAAGAAATGAAATTTTCATAAGTTTATCAGTAATGTTAAATTAAATGGAATTCCATTGCATATTTGATCTCTAAGCTTCAAATTTCCAAAACTATGAATAGAAGATTAACCAGCTGAAGTCATAGTTATGAATTTAACATATCTCGTATTAAAGATTCCTATTATATATTAGAGTAAAGCCTGATGACGATCTATTGTTCGCTTATATGTGTTGTTCTAATATCTCATATTCACATTTATTTATATCAAATTAAACATTAACAGTATCAATTAAATATTCTAATATTCTGTCAATGATTATTGTACTTTTTTAATACAGCATTAATATCGTCCATAAATATTTAGTTTCAATGATACGAAGGAGTATTTCTTACAAATGTTTTTAGTGAAATAGACTCATTCATTTTAAAATTCTTGTTGATACTAAAATAAAAACTGATAACTTTCATTTTTTCATTAACTTGTTAAAAATAGATTGGTAAGTTTTATTATATTTGGAATGTGGTTATCAATGCGATTCAGGATGCATGTTTCTTTCTACTTCGAACTAAGGCTTATATTTTCATGTTGTTGATGTGAAAGATAGATATTGATAAGTTCCTATTGATATTTGTTCATCTTAATCGAGTTGTCTCGGTACTAGTATCGTTTTACAAGTTTTGATAAAGTTAGTTTGCGATGATGAAGTCACTTGATCATTCAATCACAGAATAAATGACACTACAGCTCCTCATATTTTAGTTACTCGACATTGAATTTATACAGGTCATATTATTGATGTTTTCAAGTTGTTTGAAATAATAAGTCAACAGGAGAATGACATTTCATTGTTTATCTTAAGTGGTTTAGGTTAAAATCAACCTCCAAAGCAAATGGATGTGATTTTATCACAGCCTTTTTTAAATTGGATTGTTTAATTACTTTTCTCCTAAGTTGTGTTATTCTACCTTTGATTAATTAACTGTTTTATCAACCACTTGACAAAATACCCTTAAGTTTGTTATGTAATTACCACTTACCCGATTCGTAGGACTTGCTTAAATCTTTATAAAGTATTACAGTGATTACGCAACCTATCTTATCTATTATCTACTTCCAAATAGTTTTATCGCGACTCCATTCTTTCAAAATGTTTCTTCAACAGATCTTAAACATACAACTGTGTATGGAAATAATATTACTAATATAACCTTGATCACTTCAATTATTTACAGTCACAATCTTTATTATGTTATCTTTTGCCATGAACAAACACTAATTATATGATGAGTTTATTTTTGTCTGCTTCTGTTGTTGTTCTTAATATAAATTTATCAAAGGGAACTAAATTGTATGAAATGAATGTATCTATGGCAAATTTGAAGAATCGATTGTATAAAGTCGGAATGCGCATTGCTGAGGAGTCCCATACCAGGACCAAACGGTCGTCCAGTGCTTCCAGGTTTCTAATGGTGGTCTAACATTGATCGATTCATGGTCTCAAAAATGTGCCAAGTCAGTTACACCTATTCGTACATTTTTGTAATTATTTCAGTAGTTTATCTGACAGCCTCATCAACATTGGCGCAAAATATATAACTTGGGTCGATCAGTAAAGCACAATAACTAAACAGCTTTCAGTTTTGGAAGATACTTCGTATTACTGACTGATATAAACCGTCAATTCATGATTTTATGCAACGTTCATCCATTGATTGCTCTAGGTAACTGCCTCACACATTAATTGGTTGAACTCCACTGGACACAGCTTTTCATTACAACTCCAAGTTTGACATTTTAGAGCTGGTAACTAGTGAAAGCAAGATTATTATTAGAACAGAATGATTTCTGGTTATGAGAATTATTGTAGTTTTAAGTTGCAAGTTTTGTTAAATACGGTGAATCTGTTGAAGTTGGATACTAATACCTTTGAATGATAGTTCAATGCTTTAGAAATTAAGTGTTTGCGTGCGAGACTGAAAGTCTTGTATTCTATTACCAAATACGGGGGTTTAAATGTGCACTCCTAGAGAGTCTCATGACAGAAAGAAACAGCAGCTCGATAGTTTGAGGTTTTTTAATGGTAGTCTAACTAAGACCACTTTTGATTTAAGAGTGTGAAAGCTTTGCAACTTCTGACAATCTCCTCTTTCTAATGATAAACTATGATACCAAGGATCTTCGCCTCAAGGTGTTTCAATGAAAACTAACTTCATATTATGCAGACCTCAGAAAAATAAATCAATATGAAATTTGTTTTGGTTTTGAACTTACATTAGTAAAGATAATTCTACTGACTTCTAAGTTATATACACTGATTGTCAATAGACAAGAATCCATCCAAGAATCCTTACACTCCCAAACTGTTACCATCAGAAAATAACATAAGCTACCCTAGCACCTTGTACTGTTATTGAGTTTATCTGACGAGTTAAGTTAGGCTACATATTCCTAAGTTGTTCACTTGCACTAAAAATGAGAGAGAGAGAGAGAAGGAGAGAATCTACTCTAATCCAAATGAGTTTTAATTATATTTCATTGACTTGGAAACATATAGGATATTCAAAATTCTTCAGACTTGAAGCACCAAAAGCGTAAGATTACAACTCATCATAAACTTACATATTTGTGATACAAAGCTAAGTAGCAGAATTGTGTTTATTGGGTAACAAATCAAATATTAGTGACTAATGGTCTAAGCAAGAGCTTATATGTAAGGCGCTATTAAAATACTATGAGCCAATTGTTTAACCTATACACAGGTAACGTATAAAATTGGCTTCTCATCATGAACAATTTCTTTTCAATGCTTCGACTTAACAAATTATAAGATTCATGCAGAAAAATGAGTAATTTCTAGACCATTCAATAGTAAGTTTATTTATTTAGAATTGTTTTGATAGTTGCATCACCTATAATCTTGATTAAACACTTTTTTGATGAAAAACACGATGGAATACTGATTGTGTGAAGAAAAGTTAATTTTCCTACTGGGATGATACATATACATATATATGCTTAGTAATTTATTAGTAATCTTGTTACAATTAGTGAACAACTTTTCACATCGGAAATAAAAAAGACACTGGGTATAACCAACCATTATAAACGCGTTTTACAATGAATCAGCTAAATCGGAAAATATAAAATACTGGCCACCCGATTTCCGATTCAAATATACTGTACTTTTTCACCAGATTTTGCAATTGTCTTGAGGTTGTGGATGAATATTTGTGGAAAGTTGCAAAGTTGAGATGAGGCAACCATGTCACACTTCATTGTGTTTTTTACAACTTGTATCTGTCTTACAATACAAGCTAATTTCGAATTAATTAAATCGGTAAAGTGTTAATTTAAACTCATCTACGTTGGGTTACTATTGAAACCCAGAGAACCCTGAACATTTGTCTCATTCTAGTATGAGATTCATAACCAAAAAAAGTATTTAGGACCGAACCAAGAATCCGATTGACGAACTTCTCGGCTTACAGAGAACTCCAAAATCAATAACTGAAAGTTCAGTTTTTTTCTGACTAAACCATATTTAAATTATGGAAAAGAGTTTAATATGAATAAAAGTAAAACTTTTAAACATTTTAATGGATTTTTTTAAGTGATTTTATACAGTGTTGGATGGAGGGGAGTCCGAGTGTTTTTTAAAACCATTTAAAAAATATATTCTAACATCTTAGTTATTATTTACATGATTTTATCAATTCGTCCAACCAACTGATGATGACAGGAGGGGAGATAAAAAAGCTAAACAGATAACATGAATCAATATCACTTCTAACCACTTGAGAAAAAAGTTTTCATTCATTTTATTTTGCTATTTTTAACCGCATCTTATTTGATTCTTTTATGTTGATACATATGCTATACGTATGCTAATCTCAGCAGTTGTGTAACTCCCTCCTTAGCTTCTTCTATACATGAAATGGATGTATGTTAATAAGAAATAGAAAACTGACAATTGGTTTTTTAACACATTAAATGATTACATCATCAGTTCACATTAGATAGATAAGTAGATAATGAAGTAAGAAGACAGAAAATAAATTTATCCCTATGAAAATAACATTTAAGGGGTGGAAATAAGTTAGATTAGGTGACAAACTATTTTTAGGCGGAGTGGTGGTTATCAATATGATAACAGAAACTACTGCAGAATAGGTAAATAGGGTCATCCCAAATATCAATTTTTTTCCTAACATAAAAAAATATAACAGAAAATTACCAAATAAAAGGAAAGGTAAACAGAAGTGAACTGCAGAACAATAATATGGACACTAAACGGAATTTACTTCAAAATCTTGGAGAATTAGAAGTTTACTTATTATTGCAAAATGCTAAATTGTTACAATATTTTGATGCATTCATAAATCATGGTAAGTGTGTAATGCCTTCATATATAGTTGAGTTCGCTTACATTTAATTTCGTTTAAGCGTTTCGATGAATTTATTTAACCAAGCCATTTGAATAGCAACAACTAATGTTTATCATTGGTTTTAATTATTGTCCGGTTTGTGGGAGCTGGTACGACTGAACATTGTTTACGTCTACGCGCATAATCATGCCTATCTCGCCTGTTACATGTCTGTTTTTTTCTTTTCTCTGACTATAAATTCTTAGTCATGCCTTATCTCTTGGACTTGGTTCACTAGTCTTCTCCGATGAGCTTCGTTTTGCTTATACGCTTTTCTTCGCATAAATGATTGCATAAAATAAATTCATCCGAGAAACCGCATTCGGCCTTTTATTACGGGGTTAGTCTAAGTGTAATATACAGAAAAGGAAAAGAGGATTTATTTCATCACATACTCGATCATTGGTCCACATTTAAGAGCAGTAGTGATACATTGGCCACTACAAGTGTAAACTGGGTATTTACTTTACAAAATATTTTATTTGTTAATATCCTTTTTGCTGTACAAAAACTTTCGTCTAAATTTCAATGAATAATTTCACAATAGTTAAGCTCCTACTTAATATAAGCTATTAAGGAGGGAAATTATATTTCTAAACGGTTTACTAATTAGACTTTCAGTTTATTCAACGTTTTGTTCTGAAATTTAGTCCAGACTTTATCAAGGAAATGTAAATTTGATGCTTGATTTTGGTTTTTCTTTTTAATGTATTCCTTTTGGTGAAGATTATATTTGAAATACTCTTAGCAATTGAAATTTAAAACAAAAAAGTCAAACTTCAATAATTCCATTCAAAATTGTATACTAATAATTTCGATTTTAATTATTACGCTGAAGATATCCTGACAAGTTTGCAGGACTTATTTGCTGGAAATATTTAAATTTCAATTGCTGAGATTATTTCAAATATAATTTTCATAAATAGTCTTTTGTATACTGTACATATGTAAAATAATCCATTTAAATATTGGCGAATAATAATAAATATTCCTTCTAGTTGTTCATATCGTGTTTACTGTGAAAAATTTGAATATGGTTTATAGTTTTTAGTGTTAATCAAATGATAACTAACTAAGCAAATTCTAAGGTTGGCCACTTGGTTAAATGATTCAGTATAATGTAACATTTTCATGTTAAGTAGTCGGTAGTAATCTTCGATTGAAGCTTCATATTGGTTAACATACACCAAGGATGTATATTTTTAGTTTTATTTTTAAAATTGGTTATTCATATAAATTCAAGTTAAGTTGTAATAATTTGAAAATTAAACTAGGAATATTAAGGAATTGTTTTAGTTTTCAAATCGATTAATCAGTTCATTATTTGACTTTAACCATAATCTAATATACATCAATGCAATAGCCTAATGCTTAGAATAATATCTTCAGGTCATTTAATCAGTATATAGTATAGTAACAATTACCAATATAAGTGAATTTACAATCTTCAGCTAGTTTTGTAAACAAATTACTCTGTTTCAGTCACTCTCTCTTCCTCTCCCATAGAATAGGACCCGAGCGGGTGCCACTGCTCGTGTGCATGCTTTTTGGACGCCCACCTGTCTGCAGACCAAACTGGACAACATGTATGTTCCCGATTGGGGCAGGGGTGACTACTGTTTGTTACAGTGAGAATCCTTTTGTTGCCTAACAAGCAGAGATGTTCATGTGCAGCAGTCTTGATGGTTAATCATAACTAGTAGACATCACTGAATAAAATGTCACAATAATTTAGTCTATTTTATAAAAACTCATGTTTAAAGCAAAAACTATCATCATACTGGTACAGTACTCTTTATAAAACTTCAATATAATCCACCGTAGACATTTTATGTTGATGTATATCTATTGATCGAGCTTATGGAATAATAGCATTGTATTCTTGATCATACTATTTACGATGTGTAAAATTTCCAAAACTTGTAACTTTTCCTGTTTATTTTAAGAAAAAAACACATTTTATTCATAACTTTAATTCTAGGTGGTGATGATATTCAACAATTAGTTGACTCATTAAAAGATCCCAAAGAATTTGATCAACTTATTAAAATTGTTGGAATGGATAAAAAACCATTACATATTCAAAGATTTAAAAAAGCACTTATTGAATATTCAACACAAAACGCCGCATCATTCAATCGTCAAAGTTTAAGCAATGAATCAAAATCAAGTGATACATATTCTCCACTGGAAGGATCCACCTTAAATATTGATTATCACAATACGAGTAATACATCTACCAATTCTAATTGGTGTTCATTTCTACCACCATTGAATTCAGGCTTAAATATATTACCATATCAATCAATAATCAATTCATTACCTTCAACACAATGTATTCTGCCGAATAATTCATTAAATTTTAATCCTTTGTTTAATCAATGGGCAATATTGAGTAATCCACAAAATTATCCTCTACTTCAATCTTTAGCTATGGGTATTTCGAATCAACCACTTTCAACACCAGTAAAATGTATGGATGCAAATGACCATAGATTCAGTAAGTCGTACTGTTTGGCTTTTTTTGAAAAACTTTTCTGAAATAGTCACTTTGAATGGTAATTGATTTGAATCTGTCTAAACTTGTGGTCAGTGTGATATCACTGTTGTTACTGTAAGCTTCTGTTTATAAAAAAATATGTACATCGATTGATTTACTTGTTTACTCAGTATTGTACTGTATTCAACTTTGAACCAGACTAAATGTGTAAGGGCTTTCAATGCTATGTTGTTGCTCAACCAAAATAGATGCGGTAGGATCTACCACTTCAAAGCCGAATTGTTTAACCATTAAGCCATCAGATTAATCTGTCATAGTTAGCTGTTCATAAAATTAAAACAAATTACACATGAACAATGTGAATGAGCTGAAAAATAGTCACTTCATACTTAACCAGACGAAACAATATAGAACTTTGTCCCAAACAGTAAATCGAAACCAGTGACTGCATTTTATCATGGCAAATCAAAAGAATTCGGTAGCAGACGCGTATTTGGATATTCATAGTGAACAAAATCATTATAAGTGAAATAGTTCAATGAAATATTCAAAAATACTGATCATATACTCAGCTAATGATTAATGTTGAGAAAAGTACTTGAACTTCTGGTGCAACTTTGTGACTGGTGAAGTGTAATAATTTCTCTTGTTAGATCATCAGCACCACTAGGAGTTGGTGATGGTCGTGCAATTTGAATCAGTCAATTTGATCTCTGTAGTCTAAATGTTAAGCCCGAGCTGACAAACTCAAAGTTACTGAATCAGATTATTGCTGTCTAAACAAGTGTGCACTACTGAACAGTCGAATACCAGGATAAAATATCAATCCAATGTTCATTGTTTATACTGGTGGTTTAGAAAAGAAAAATCAGCGCATAGTGAAATAACTCGTTGTTTTCAATACGAAGATAGGATAATAACGAATGCACATATTTTATAGTTATCAATTTGATTCATAAAACTTAATCTCTGGTCATGTATAGCCTTGAAGATTCCAATTAACAATTAATATGAACTATTGGGAATATTTTATAGAACTTTAGAATTTTATAAAATGTGAATTAAGTGGGAATCGCAAATACTAATTTACTTTATCCAGTACAATGAGATAACTTGAACTAAATGTAATAAAATATTTGTTTTCAGAAGGATAGGTTCCATAAAAATGTTTGCTTTTGATTAGGCAAGTAATAAATGACTTTTTTCCAGCTATGAATTGTATACTAACAGATACAAATTGAAAAAATAATATTATTATCAGTTAAATAAGTATAACCTATTGATTTGTCAACGTAGATTAAGCTACATTTTATCTAAAGACAGATATTTATCGTTCATTTTGATCAGTGTCCTGTCATTATTTGATATTGATCAATCAATGAAAATCAATACTGAAACAGGAGAAAGTTTAGACTTTACTAGAAATGTGAGAAAACATTGATTGTAATAAAATGATTAAGTTGTATGCATATAACTGCCATAATAATTCATATCCAGTGGTGAACCATTGAATAGTTACTGGTGTCAAACAAATATTACTTTCTCCTCTGTAGTGAACACTCACAACGTATCATAAGTTCGAATCAAGAAATAGGAAGTTTTCTTGTGGTGTTTAACGCTAAATTTCGACGATTAAGGCCTACTATATTGCCTACAGAAATTTTTACTTTGGTCAGTTCACCTTAGGTCAATGTTATATTTTTCTAGTTCTCAGTGATTTCATTAATCAAGTTGCAATATCGCCACAAGTTTACCGTAACATCACATGCACCATGTCTTGATAGCAAATGGCTAAAAACAGCCCTGTACCTGAGATTTAGTGCTGATTGGTATTTCTCAGCATGGTATAGCTGAAATCTCAAGGGAAATTCTGTTCCTTAAGGGATTTAAAACCATCTTCACAATGTATGACATTATCATTGAGCTTTATGTAACTAAATTAATCAATTGATGGGATTAGTTTTACAGCGAAATTAAAACAGGTCGATTGCGTGTTCTCGTGATAAATTTAATGGTTGTAACTATTGTGTAATCATTATTTGTAACATTATACTGATAAGAAACAGACATTTCCACCCTACGAAGAGGAGAGAGATTTTAGTGGAGAAAGGGGAAATGTCACTCATCATTCAATGATGCAACTGGTGACCTAACTCATTTTTTGCATAATATTAATTCACTCTCGTTTTTGTCAAATTTTCACCTTCGTATTTTGATAAGAAATCAAATTTTCCTGCTAACCTAATTTAGGGATCACAGAGAGAAGAGGTGAGAAGAGTTAAAGTTCAGCAGATTCAAAATGATGGTGTCATGGTTACATTTTAAATTCGGTTTTTTAAAAAGTCGATAAAAATTCGTTTATGGTCAAGTTACATGTTAATAGATTATGTTGAAATACAGAATCTATATTTAATATGAATTAGTATCCATAGAGAAAATGATAACTGTATTTTTATTTCTGTATTTAGGTGGTTGTAAATAGTTAACAAAAGACTATCGATCTAAATCTTGTACTAGCTGGGGCTCGTCAGCAAAACATTCTTATAACTAATGACAGTTAAACCCTAACCACACAGTTTAGTGGTTTGAGACCTTACTGTTGAACTAATAGGTTAGCGACTGACGTCTCCTAGGAGTGAGATATTTCCAGTAACTAGTCGCTGGGTAGTGACCAATGTCATGTTTGTTTCGTTTTTTAATACTTGAAAACTTTCTTCTCTCTTAGGTTTAGGCTTTCTTGTCAACTACCTCAAACCACCTAGCATCAAAGCATAGTGAGGTCAGTGCCCGATCACTCAAACTAGTGGCACTAATGAAACTTGATCAATAGGATTCGAGCATCACTAACGACTTCACAAACATGATCTCGATCACTGTTCAATGATCAGTCAATCCAATTTATATCAGATTTAAATGAACTCTTAGATCCAACCTAATATCCTGACTCTGTAAAGTTTTATCAGGAATTACAATCAGCTAGAGAGCTGTTTAAAAACCTAAAATACAAGACATTCATTTCATCCAGCGTTTGTATGGTAAACACCTATATTCTCACAGTATTCAAACTATGAATAATGAGGTCTTAGGCCAAGCACAATGACTCCGAACCATTGAATTAACGTCGAATAGTGATCGTTTTCAGTTTCAATCTATTTTTAGCATAACATAACTCCGATTCATTATCTTTGTTCTGTAGCTATATTATCATCCGGCTGGTCAACTCACTATGTGGCACTTTTTTACTTGGTTTAATTTTTCAGTCAGTCAGTCAGTTGCAACGTAGAACTTCGTACGTATGTACATAAGTTCATGTTGCCATACCACATTATTAGCACAGAGACGCAAATGTCAAATCAAATCCCATAGTGATAAAGATACTAGAGGTATTAATGTTATAATAAAGAAGACTAGGGTTTAAGATATTATTCAAAAAATATAATTCAGTGAGATAAGGTTAGAAAGACAAAGGTAGAAGTGCTGGCTAATCCAGAAGATTAGGATTTGAGAGAGCTCAAAGAGTGGATGCACCTGCGCCATTGCAAACGATTTTGAGCCATGTCGTTCAAGGTCTCTAACCATTGATGACTTTCGTCTCGCGGACCCCAACCAGGTAGTCTACATCTACCAACATGACTCAGTCCACTTGTCAGTGACTTCATGGATTTCTGCCATGTTTTGGTCTGGCCGCCCCTAGCTTTCTTCCAACATACTCCTACACCACAAAACATAGCTCGTCGAGGCAGTCGGTGGTTAGGCATACGTAACACATGTCCCAACCACCTCAACTGATGAAGTTTCACCACTTCATCGATTGATCTGCCATCCTTACCTAGTACTCGTTTCCTAACGACAGCATTACTTACTCGGCTGTCCCACGATATACGAGCAATGCTTCTTAAACATCTATGATCGAATACTAGTAACCTACGAAAATCTACTCTTAACGGCCATGTTTCACAGCCATATAAGAAAACGGAACGAACTGCTGCGCAGTACACCCGCCCTTTGGTTAGCGAACGGATATCACGCCTACGCCATAAGTGACGCAGGTTGGCAAAAGCCAATCGAGCTTTCTGTATCCGAGCTGAGATTTCGTCAGTCACCAGACCGTCAGCACTGATGAGACTCCCCAGATAAGTGAAGTGATCAACACGCTCGACTACTTCACTCCCTATCACTAGTTCAGGTGCCAATGCAACCCAGTCTTGAAGCAACATTTTGCATTTCGAGGGGGAAAACTGCATCCCGAACATGCTTGCATTGTTGCTTATGGTAGTCAGAAGACTCTGCATTTTGTCAGCGTCTTCACCGAATAGAACTATGTCATCGGCATATTCTAGATCAGTAAGCGACTTTCCTGGTAGAAGGTCAACCCCTGAAAAATCTGACGAGCTTAATGTTAACTCTAAGAGGATGTCTACGACAAAGTTAAAGAAGAATGGAGAGAGTGGACAGCCCTGACGGACACCACTTGATGTAGAGAATTCAGATGACAGTTCGCCATATGCTCTCACCCGACCAGTGGTGTTCGAGTAGAGTGCTTGTATAAGGTTAATGTACTTCTTTGGTACACCTTTCAATGACAGACACTGCCACAGAACCTCACGATCCACTGAGTCGAATGCCGCCTTAAGGTCCAGGAACACGACTATTGTCGGACGTCTAAATGTGTGTCTGTGTTCCAGGACCTGTCGTAATGTGAAGATGTGGTCTATACAACCACGTCCAGGTCGAAAACCAGCCTGGTTTTATCGAGTCTGCTCTTCACGAGCTCTAGTTAGACGTCTAAGTATAATCGAGGCTAACAATTTAGAAACTATATTAGTTAAACTTATTCCCCTGTGATTGTCACAAGAGGACTTCTGTCCTTTCTTGTAGATTGGGACAATTAGCGACTGAGACCAGTCAGATGGGATTACGTCCATTTCCCAGATTCTACTTAGGATCTCGGTCAGTCTAACCGTTAAAACTGGACCACCATCCTTAAACATCTCAGGGGTAAGCCTATCAGGACCTGCCGCTCTACCTCCCCTTAGATTTCCTATAGCTTTCTCAACTTCATGTAAACTGGGAGGACTTAAATCGATTTGCCATTCAGGATGACTGGAGATCGTGGGCAACCGAAGTGTGGCTGAAGGCCAGTTGAACTGATCCCTAAAGTGTTCTGCCCATCGGTCCAGCCTCCTAGATTGAGAATGGATAATAAGACCATCCTTTTCCGAGATAGTCTCACTCACATTCGGGTTCCTAATACCGGTTTCTTTAATAAGGCGGAAAAGTTGTCTAGTGTTGCCTATCGCCGCTGCCTTTTCCATCGCTTTTGCTTTCGCCACCCACCACTGTTCACGGTCGTTACGTAGGCTTTTTATAAGTCTGCGCCTAAGCTGACTACGCTCTTCATCATGTTCAGAGTCAGGTGGGATGCGTTTTCGAGCATCCATCAGTTCGGTGGATGCGACTGAAATCCACGGCTTCATCCTAGCCTTGTGGTTTACCTTGCTAGCAGATACCATTGCTGTTTCCACAGCCTTCTTGATATGATTCCAACCTGCTTCAGGATGGGAATCACTTGCATGGTCGCCTAACTGTTTTTCTAGTTCCCCTTGAAATATTTTCTTAGCTTGATTATCATCAAGTAAAGCCCTAAGAGGCTTTCTTACGGTGTCTTTCCTACGTCCAGCAAGCCTCAAACAAATACGTGCTCGCACTAGGGCATGATCTGAATCTAGTCATATTATAAATCAAAGCAGAGTAACGTTATACTGTACAGATTTCGTTGTGTTCAATTTTGTATAGACTTACAACAAAGAGTTTGATTTAGCTTTAAAACCACTGAAAGGCAGAAGTTGGAAATCCGTTTAGTCCTGATAAGCAACTCCAAAGCGCTGCACACTTACGACCTCACCAGGGATCAAAAACAGACTGTATGGGTCTCATTTAGAGCTCGACGATTTTAGATGACTAAGTTGGTATCCATCAGTTCACAGTTCCAATTCCACTCTACTCGTGATATTACGGAATCGTTTTCTTGAGTTCAATCTGAGTTACTACTAAGTTATCACATAATAGAATGAAAACTTTTTCCAGTAACCCCACAGTTTGTAATCGTTTTCTAGTTACATTTATTTCAATTTGTCGGCTACCTTGAAAATTATTCCCTTTTAATAATCTTTAATTCTTAAATTATTTTAACTAATATCAAACCTTTTTGAACGTTAATTTAAGTGAATTCGTACAATCAAGATGAAATATGCAATCCAACCATTGCAGGATTATCTAATCATACTCACTCACTGGTACAATCAACTTCATCAAAAAAACAACAACATCAAGAAGAGAATATTCACAAAATTAGTGAAACAAGTCAATCACGAACTAAAAACAGTCAATCAGATAGTCCTATTCTATCACGAAATAATTCTTCATATTCCTTACAATTATCACAACCTGAAAATGTACACCCATCTCCTATGATCTCTCATAGTGCAGAAATCGATTTGACAACAACAGCAGCAGCAGCAGCAACAACAACAACAACAACAAGTGCACACATTAGTGTGTCAAAACTTATTGCAACTGAAAATTACACAGAAGATGCATTCAAAATACGTCCAAGTGCAACTTTAATGAAATCAGATTATTTAAAATTAGAAATCGCGATTACTGCATTACTGCCATATTTACCAAAATTTCAAATTAGAAAATCTAACAATTCACGAAATACAAATGAACAGGAAATACAAGTAGGTAAAGTTTTTTTATTTTATTACAGCATACATTATCATACGTATTTTACATACAATACAGTCATTATGTCAGTTAAACGGAGGTTTCAGTTGTTATACAGGAATATGTTTGAAATTATACAAAATTATTCGAAACCTAATCAGGTTTACAAGAAAAACTGTGATATAACTATTCTGAAACGTCTTGACGATTTCTTGAATTCATTGACTTGTATAATGGATTCCTTGAAATAGACAAATATTAATGATGAATGAAAATCATATCTATTACACATTTAGTCAAGTTGTGGAAAAAAAGTAGATATAATTACATAATCGATGGCAAATATAAATATTCCGAGTATTTTGAAAGGATGAAAGTAATAGAAGTACGAACCGTGAAAATGTGCCTCTTCACTAATCAGTCGGTTACATTACGAATATTGATAAGACTGATGTTTGCTAAAATGATGTCAGTAAAAGATGTCCATCTGTTAAGTCAAGTTGCAAATTCGTTGGGTAAAATTCATTTAGTAGTAAGAATTAAACAACTTAGTGTTTTCTTACTATTCAGTAAACAATTATAGTATTAATTTGCTTTTACAACGATATCAGATAAGTGTCACATAGCATTTGAGTGTCATAATATATTCTAATATTTGATATTTTTTAAATGATTAACCTGTTAGATATTGTTTATTTACATACATATATCTTGTAGGAGATTTTAAAATTACCAGAAAATGATCAAAATCGTATGAATGGATTACGGAAACATTCATTGATATTTGGACGAACCGATACAGTTAAACGTTTAAGTCGGCCATTACGACATTTTGAAATAACAATTAATGAAATAACATTTCGTTTAGTCCAACAAATTCCTGAGTTGGTTACACAACGAGAACATTTATTTCATATTGCACGTCAAATAGTCAATATTATGAATTATGGTTTAAGTGCAAATCAAAATGGTCAGGTATGTTGTATTGATTTTGAATTTGGCGGTTGATTTGATATTTAACATTAAAAAACTATTCCGATGCTATAAGTTTGATGAATCTTTTGACTTGTATTTAAATATCATCTGCACTTTGGAAGTTGATTTTGATTAAGTGTGATTTTGGTAATTCAAGTGTTGTTTTTCTGCAGTGACTTGATAATTTCAAAAGATCATGGCAAGTTGATCATTTAATAAGTCGATTCAACCATTAACTGATCATGAATAAGATATATCTTTTTATTTCACTTATCATCTTCATCCATATAACTAAGACCAACTAATTTTGATTCACTGAAATGCAGACAGCGGTATAAATTTCAAAGGTAGATAGTTTATATAAATTGCCTTTCTCCAATTTTATGAGCAGTTACGTACATTATTAAACGAATAAATTGAATTAGGCGCCTGGTTTTGTGACTCAGTGAACTGATTACTCAGTTCATTACTTGGTGATTATTATTCTGAATCGAATCCAATGTAAACTTTAGACTCTGATCAGTTATTCTATAAACAGTTTTTTCAATCAATTCGTTCATGTGTATCTCCTCGGAAGTATATATATATTGTACATTCACAGTGTTAGTAGATTACTTAAATAAAATGTTGTGAACCAACTGATAAGGAGCCTAGATTTGAGTTTTCATTCCCATAAGCATGGAACAGCATTAAATAGATGATGATTCGAACAGAGCTATGTGCTACAGTGGTTGAATGCATTACATTATCAGTAATCAATGTCATGTTTATCTAGTCTTTAGATTTAATCGAATTCTATCGATCAGTTGATAGTGAAACGATTAGGTTAACTGAGACACTATGTTTTAATATCAGGTGTTTGTATGCAATTGTAATCTCTTTATATGGTAATTATATTTTGGAAATGAAACATTATTGTTATATTTCTATCAATATTTTATTGTTCAGGTTACTTGGAAAGTATTGAAAGAAGAGTTATCGAAAAAGTCGACTACTGGTTGCAAATTGTCAAAGTAATTTCTTAAATATTATATATTATTGTATGTTATATTGTATGATCTTCATACATTAGCACTGGATGATTAACTGAAGTCAATGATTTGAAAATTGATATTTATCGATCTCAATAAAAATCCATGAGTTCGACTGAAAAGCCATAATCGGTGGATTACAGCCAGTTCGTGCGTAAGATTAATACTATCGATGAAAATGTATGGTGTTCAGTCAACATCATAAATTCATTACGGCTAGAAATTTAAACCGCCCAATATGAAGTAAGTGAGCTTAAAGGTTAAACGCTCACTCGACGAGCCCAAATCAGTATGATACATAGTTTCCGGTAGATTATCTCCAATAGTCATACATCATTTTTACTATGATGTTTTTAAAATTTGGCTGGGTTTTATTGATTTTTGAACATTGGAAATAGAAAAAATTCCACTGAAAGAAATATAATTCACTAAAATTTACTATCCGTGATGAATGTACTCGGATAAAAATGATAATCTATTAGTTCAAGTCATATTTAATTATAACCTTTTTGCACATCAAGTATTATTTTTCTTATCGGCAGGAATTTCCTACACTTTATACATATATAATATTGATTGCAAAAACTGGTGATTTGCATTGTTCAACTTCACAATGAACACTAAACAATCCCAAATTTTGAATTTAAACTAATACTTGAATGTTATGCTTAATAATTCTTTCATATTTTAACTGATAATTTTTAGTTCGGATGATGAATGTACATTTGAAGCGAATGAAACAGAATATTCAAATGAGACATTGATTCAGGTAAGTTGTGGATACAACATGAATGTTTGAAGTTTGTTTCTATTATAATTGAAATCAGAATACAAACTGTTAAAAGTTGTGAACTACTGGACAAATATTTTTTCCTGTTATATACAACCTCCACAAATAGGGCTAATTCGAAGTACATTAGATCTCATAGTGACACTATAGCATTTAACTAATGACTTTGAACTCAGTGAATATTGCTGTTATTGTAAACTTTCAGTCTATAGGCGAAGAAGTCATTTGACAAAGTCATTGTACACTGCTATCAGAATGGTGAACTTTTGAGCCCTAAATATTTGGAAAGGTAAAGTAAATAATATTACTAATTCTTTGATATCATGGATACTACTTATATGAACACCACTTTGTTTAAATTACTGAAATCAAATTAGTCAGTAACTACAGAATAAGACAAATTATGTGATTGGAGGCAACCTAGTGAAAATTTTGGATATAGACTTTGCGTTGCTTAGTACTCCTCGATAATACATGCATACAATACAGAAGTGTTACCTTAGATGATATCCGAATCTATTTCAAACTGTTTTAGTCTAAGCAGTTACCAACTACCTATTGAGTGTTATTAAACAACATTCTCACAAACATGAATATAAAGTGAAGTACTAATTTTGACTACAACAAAAAGTGATAACACTTTATTATTTATTAATAATTTAGTTAGTTATTAGCAGAAAAATCATGTTAAATGATTGGTTCCATTCGGAATTCGTCATAGTTGGTGGTAGCATGTTCATGTTAGATTTCATTGTTAGTTGCCAAGCAAAAATGTCAGCCACTTGTAAAGTACAAACAATATACAGATATCCACCAGAGATTACTGATCAAGCATAGTGTTTTCTACCACCAACGAGACATTACAAACTTTTGTACATAATCTCAATTAATTATCCAATGATCATAGTTTTTCAACTTTTTATATTGACTTATTTTTCTTGATTTACTAACTTTGATCTTACAGAAACTCCTTCAATTGAAATTAGAAATGCAAGATGTTGTAAATAAAGAAGTTATATTGCGTACTAAAGTTCGTTCTACTGGTAAAGATTTACCATCAACAAGGCAAACGAACAGTGTACGTGGTGATTTGGATCAACTTGTGAACCAGTTACATCGATGTATTACTAAAACAGTTAAATATATTATTCTATTAAGAAGGTATGCACATCTTTAAACTGTATGTTTACTATAATTAAATTGTGAAATGACTATTCTTTAATTCGATTTTAATCTATCTAAAATCAAATTAAGAAAAGTGTTTGTATTTGTAAGTGGTTAATTCAAAAGTGTACAATTTAAAGTGGCTTGGTAACTGAAGTAATGTATTGAAAAAAACTAAAATGAATTAGAAATTTCATCTATTTTAGTTATTTATAGTAACTTTCTGGTAACCGAGTGCGGTATACCTAAGTATTATACTACCTTCAAGCTGTCAAGAGGATAGATAAACACTGTATGCAAGAACTACATGGATGCATGTATTAATTCTGGCAGAATGCATTTTAAAAATTAAATCTTTACTCATGTAATCATTAGAGTTGAAAACGCCACTTTATCAACAAAATGAGTTTAACTATAGACAGTGCTTAGATGTTACATTTAAACCAGTAGTGACTTTTATAGCTGAAGACATACAATGACTCTAGATTTGAGTTTATTAGTTGTAATCCGAATTTGGATTAATTCAGAAACGCTAGAAAATACTCATTTATAAAGATATTTTGATCAATAGAAATGAAGATTTCACGTCCATAATCTTTCAGGTTGTGAAACATAGTCTATCAGTGACATCTCGGTCCGTGTCATACTAATGAGTAGTTCATTAAGGTTGCTAGCCAGTAGTAAATTTTTTTTAACTCCAGGTTCATGTCATACTATGTATGTTAAATACACACTTATGTGTAAATACACACTTTAGAGGAAGTTCACATTTTACTGCTTTTACAAAATATATTTTTTTTTCAAACAGTGCTCAAAATGGAGAACCAGAAAGAAATGAATCACTTATGTACTCTTCATCACCTAATAATAATAACAAGACTGATAAAAGTAATATCTGAAAAATAATATCATTTTGTTTTATTTTGCGTATCTGCGTATGTGTGACCAATCATTTTTATTTATATTTTACAAAGAATTTTTTCTATTACTTATTTCTTTTCAACAAATAAAATTTAAAATAATGTTGAACTCATGAATGAATAATTTATTTTTCTCTAATTTAACTGACTTGTCATTAGTGTATATTTATATATATACACTCGATATTTATGCATTCTTTTGGAGCAGAGTTTTGGAGGTTTGTGTTTTTACACATTTGAAATCATCAATCAATCTTTGTTAGACTACTATTAGAAACCTGGAAGCATTGGACGGCCGTTTCGTCCTGGTATGGGACTCATCAGCAGTGCGCATCCACGACTCCTGCACCTCGCAGGATTCGAACCCGGCACCTTCGGTATTGTGCGCGAACGCCTAACCATCGGACCACTGGGCCGGCATACAACGGTGTTAATGTCTAACTCTGATTGATCTAGGGATTTTGCGCGACCTCACCCATTTGTCTTTGGTAGTTACTGCCTACACCCGACAGGGTTGAACTTCATCGGTTACGTCTTCTCACTAGAACTCCGAGAATTTCTTCATGAAGCTAGTCACTAGTGAGCACTGTTACGATATTTTCAGGCAGAGTTTGGGAGGTTTGTGTTTTTACACACTTGAAATCATGATTGATGATTTATGCATTCGGTGGATCAGGTTAAGAATTTTAATCATAACAAATTTTGTAGTCCATTTGATACATATAACCAGCATTGGTGCATGTTGTTATAACATTTAAATATAAGCTGGAATGTGAAGAATAGAATGACCTTTCTTGATACGTCGTCAAAATAAGAATTGGTTTTGGGAATAACATAAAGACAGTTTACGTACATATCCAAAGACTATGCTCTATCATATCAAAATGTAACCGACATAGAAGTAAATCATCTGGAATAATGACTTAGAGTCTGAAGCATTACAGAGTGATTATTTAGTGTTGTATACTCATGTATTTTTAGGGGAATATAAGTAACGATGAACTATAAGTATTTTTATATTTTCTTCCTATGGTTGCCTTAAGTGTACACAGGACACGATAGAATCGAAAAATATCAATTTTCCAAGTATTTTAAGTAACGGTTACTTTGAAACGAAGCATATTTTAATAGGGTGATGATTCGGGAAAAAGTAGATCTTAATGTGGGCCAGAGGTGGGAAACTTGAGACTTCTAAACTGGCCATACAGAGGAGCAAAAGCATTTTACGATCAAATGTTTAGCTTGTACTGAGTGACAAGATGGAGCTGAATATTGGATGTTTAGAGCACTATTTATTTTGAAGATTTATTCGCGCATGAATGAAGTGTATGCCCACCGTTTGGATTCGAGGGACATATTTCGGACATCGATGAACATTTCGATATATCTCGTATAAGCTGAAATATTTTTTAGGAATCTGTAACTTGAGTTTTTCAAGCGTGAAAGTTAAAAAATGATGTTAAATGTCAAGCCAGCTTATCACAATATCTGTAAATTTCGGAGTTTGCCCACCATTGATATGTTTTGTAAGGTCTTTAAACAGAAATCATTGTATAGACAAATTTTTATATTTGAAGGTTTATAGATCATTGAATAAGGGTGGTATTAGACAGTGCTGACAAAGACAAAATGTACTGCTTTTAGAGATTGTTGCCTAATTTACAAATGTCAACATGCCATTTAATTTTGTAACCATTAACTTGATTTATGGTGATGAATGAAGTTCTTATTTGTTTAGTACATATTCTGTTGACTGTTTCGCGTAAGAATTTTTCGAAAATTTATATGAGCATCAGAAAAAACAATGAAAGAGGAACTAAGACATTGGAACTGGTGACATACCAACTCGCAGAAAAACTCATCTTATGCATGCGATATTCAAAATATAAGTAGGCAGACAGACATAAATTACTATCATGCAAATTTAAACAAACAACGATCAGGCGTATAGGTGAACGATTAACATAGCCAAAAACACGAAGGTGGGTTGAATAATTAATAAGATCAAGGAAATCGAAATAAATTGAGGGATTTCATATTCTTCATAGTTTAATACGGGATTCACGCTTAATGCATATGTACAATTAACTGGCATTCCGTACTGATTGTCTTGAAGTATAATCAAAGAACTTTGGTATAACGCGAATATATTTGCAATTTTAAGTGAATAACAAATAGAGATTCCGGTTACATATTCGTAGTGGATCTTTATAGGTGGAATCTCAGTTATTTGAATACATACGTAATTTCATGATATTTCTTCTGTCCTCAGCATAAACTATCCCACTATGATCTTATCCCCGTGCACCACCGATACTATTTATTCAAGTTAACGAAGTATTATTTCTAGTCTCTTGAAGTGGCGCTCATGTTTGAGCTCTCAATATTTAGGTGTTATGGCAAGTAGGTTAACGGGCTTCCATAGCTTGATCTCCAGAATCTCGTTTATAGGATCCAAAAGTGGTGATTCAATTCACGGCAACTAGTTGATACGGAAAAGTGACCCGATTAATCCACCCATCTGTTTCATGGTTTTTCAAACATTGTGTAGCCTAATTTTGAAGTCATTCAAGATGTCTGTTGAAAGTTTGTGGTTGAGTACGTCCATAATAATTTCACATCCAAACAGATCATCCAAAATTTCGTTCGGCTCTGTTATAACTCCGGTGTTAAGGCAAAGAGACACGAACTTTAATAGCTATCTTGGCCTTTCATTTACTATAGTACAACGGATATGATGACGTCTGATTAATATGAGACAATCTACTTTCAATAACGCTAATAAACTTACTAATAAATCAGTGATATTGAGCAGGTTGTCCTTTGAAACTTAACTCCCTATCCATCAAGCCATATTTAAATTAAACAAAGGGAAGGAATTCAAAAATGTAGACGAATAGATTAGAATGTTTGACTCAGAATAAAAGTCTCGAACGATATCCAAAACTTGAGAATAACAGAAAGCCTATATGCAGAACCCCAATGTTTAGCTCAAATTCTTCTCTGGTACTTTTTCGGAGCGTGGTCGATTGACACATTTGACTTACGGTTCAAATAACATAAAAACAGAACTTCAATTTAAGTACCAACATTCATTCGTAAATCACAAATAACCAGGGAAAATATATTATTTTACTAATGATCGTAAAAAATCTAAACTTTAGTTTGGTTTCCAGAGTAATTTCCGGATATGAATAAATTAGATAAAACGGAAATGTCGAAAACTGACTGAAAATAATGAAATTCACAATCAGAGTTCAGTTTTTAGTTCAGTACCTAGGTTCATCCTGAAAGATTTCTTACCGAAAACCAAACGCTTCGATGTAGTAACCGAAGCGGGAGATCTTAAGGTCATTTTAGGTGGCTTAAATCAAAGAGAAACAAAGTTACATAAGTTTTACTCTGCTCTAACTTAACGAACAGACAATAGCTAACGGCTGCTGTCACAGTTTTCAGAAGACCCATTGTTCTTAGCAAACACCAACCTGAAGTTTGATAGGAGATCGTCTCACTCGGTGACCCCAACCATCGACTAAACATTGGATGCAAATAAAGCACATCTCCATCAGCCGACCTAGGTAATGCTCAGTTAAACGATGTTGTTCATTTTAGATTAAATGTCTATGTTCTGATCATGCTTCAGAACGAGCAACCGTTTGCTTATATCTTATTGGGTAAAGCAGAATCAGGATGAGGAAGCCGCTCTGAAAAATGAAACTGTCAAGCATATTTCAGTGATAAGATGATAGGATATTTCCTGGACTCAAACCTAGAACTGTCTTGAAGCCAACCATCGACGCAATAATCCATGTATAGTCAGAGGATCCAGAATATGTAATAGAAAGCTCATAACTTTCCTGTTAATACCAGTCTTAGATGACAATAGCGTTTTCAATTAGTTTATGTAGCTCTGTACTTTGAAAAAGTTGAGTAACAGATAAATAAGAGAAATTTGACTCCCTAACCCTGAACACATCCACCGGTAAAGACAGTTCACCTATTTCTTTATCACGAAAAATCTCAGTGTCCTGTAGAACGACACATTTGTCAGTTAACCCTGATATAAAGACTTTTAAAACAAACAACTGCATTATCAACGAATCCAGAGAACACTCCATAATCCTCAAAAACTCATAAAAGTCAACGTAAACACAGAAATGTGCTTCAAACTGAATGTCAAGTGAGCACAGCATTCAGTAACAGAAAATTCTTATATCTAGACAAAGATTGGCGAAATAGCAACTCCAAGGCTCCATTTAAGGATTATCCTTATGTAGAGTGTTATTGTACCATTATAAGGAAACTGGATAACGAAGTTTACACGTTGATAATGGCGAAAGTAATATTTACTTTCAAATAACAATTTGTTACATGAATCGTGTCAGTTTAAAGGTAAGCTGAAATAATTCAAAATGTTACCACATTTACTACAATATGCTGCTCATTTAGGTAGCTAGCTACATTACAAGATACACTGGTAATTACCAAAGAAGGTTAATATTTTCCACATAAATCGTAAATAATGTTTGATAGACTGGAATGTGCAATATAATATGTCACTTGCATTGAAATAAACGACTGGTAGTTGAGAATGGGACCAAGTTACATCTAGTCAGAGATGAGGTAAATGAATTCTCTCGATAATAATTTAACAGGTTTCTTTGCAAAACAACTGTAAGTCTCCAGGAATACCAGGGATATTATGTAAACCGTAAGAATAAGTGATATGCTCAGCGCGTGCTTCTGCTAGTGTGTCACAAGAGTTCTGAACAATAGAAAGAAAGAGAGATGGGCAATTGGTTGTATGAACAGAAGAGAATGAAAAGGACTGAAAGGTTAATGATTATGTAGATCTACAGAATGCAATAGGGTAAGCGCATAGATTTTATGCGTTTATGATATTTCGGCGTTTTCTTATTTTTCTTATTACCAACTCGAATGCGCGAGAGTACCTCATATTAATATGATTGCCAATGTCA